ACACATTATGAATATATTTTCAAAAGAAGATTCTAGAAGTTGTTTATTGATTTTTTAAAAAGGTGGAAAAGGCATCACTTTACAACCCCTACTCACTCCACACCTTCTCTCTGTGGCAACAAATCTTAGCTTAGTTTCCACTTCTTCTATAAGCCTTTACTGACCAATCCAGTGGGAATTTTTTCTTTCCACTTAGGATTCTATATTCAGATTGATGATAAGGATAAATGGTACAAATGCAAATAAATTGAAATCAAAATATAGCCCTGAAAATTTGTTTTGGAAATGGGCATTTGTTTTACTCTCCAGGTCTCAAAGGATACATTTAATTATTCCCATTCAGTATGTCTGTAATGTTTAAAAAATTAGGTCTCTCAGGCTGTACTTGATGTCAATGCCAAGTAAATCCCCTCAGAATTATTTAAATATTTAAACCATTCTCTGTTAATGACATAAATATTATCACTGACCTGTTGGTAGAAATATTTCCCTAACCATTCAAAAGGATAGAGTTTTATTTCTGGATCTACTTTAAAAATCAGCACCAGACAACTAACTAGCTTTTATAAAACTCTTAACAGGGAAATCCAGGTGAGTGAGTATTTAAAAATTTTTTTAATGGAAATATTAACCCCCAGAAACATTTCTTTAAATTCTTTAAGGTTTTTTGGTTGCAATTCTTATCTTTCAATCTTTTAAGTTCTTTTAAGTCTTTAATGTAAAGTCTATTGTGTAAGAATTAGACAAATGACTATAATTCATTTGTATCACTTCTGAATTTAAGAGAAGCCTAAATTTACCAAAAATAAATAAGTAAAGGTGTACTTTTATAGTAATAACAGAAAACATTAACAGTATTTTTGAAACTTCTTTAAGTAATATGGTTTGCAATATAACTTATAACAACAGATGAAATAGATTATTAGTTTCTATAATGAAATGATATTTAAACTGTGTTGGACATTCCCTATATATTAAACAAATCATATGAGAAAGTAATATACAGTTAACCCTTGAACAATGTGGATGCTAAGGATGCTGACCCCATGTATAATTGAAAATCCACATATAACTTTTGACTCCCAAATCTTAACTACTAATAGTAGTAGTTAACCAGAACTGCTCACTAGAAGCCTTTCTGACAACATAAACAGTCGATTAGCACAAATTTTTTATGTTATACTGTATTCTTACAATAAGTCAGCTAGAGAAAAGAAAATATACTAGGAAAATCATGAGGAAGAGAAAACACATTTACATTACTATACTGTATGGAAAAAAAATCCATGCTTAAGTGGACCTGCACAGTTCAAGTCTGTGTTGTTCAAGGATCAGCTGTAATTTTAAGCCATTGTTTTAAAACCTTGATGTAATTTGAGGGAACTTTCTAGTTTCTCTTTTGATTCTTAGAGAAATAAAATATCAGTGTAAGACTTACTTCTGTCTGACTAATTATAATCAACTAGGAAAACTAAAGGAAATCTTACTATTTTATGTAACTTCAAGCTGGTAAGTGTAAGGCATTTATTGAAAAAATTATTCAAATTATATAGGTTTGAAATATTCATTTTTAGACAACAGGTTTCCAAAAGTAAGTCATTTAATGAAAAACTAATTCAAAATATAGAGACTTCAAATGTTCTTTTTTTAAATACTGTTCCTAAAGGAATCAATCCAAATTAGTCTGAGATTTAAAAGTTAATAATATTTTCAGGAAGGCAAAAGGGAAAAGATCTTATATCTCTCCAAAATGCCTTTCCTCTGTTCCTGGAATACAAGTGTGGTTATGGTCAATGAATATCCAGAAAACTATCAATGTGGAAATGTCCAGAGGATCAATTGATCTAAGAAAGTATGTAGCACAGAGCAGGCATTAAGTAAATACCACGTCAATGAACAAATGATTCTTGAATTAACTAAAATAAGCAAAAGTAGATTGAAATAAAGTATTCTTCAGTAAATTAGAACTCTGTTAATAAGGAAAAATGTAAGGGATAAATCACTGACTGATATTTCTAAAAAATACTCAAAATTTAACAAATTATAAAAGCTTAATATATCATGGAAATACTTGACACTGAAAAGAGTAAAACTTGACACCAAACAGTCATTGCTTTACATAGAGACAAGTTTCCTTAAGAATACATTACCACAAGATATGAGTATCTTCCTGAATGACTCTAGATACATGCAAGATTGCCAGCAAATTATTATTATTTATAACCATAAATGTCATGATCACAGAGATGGAGCAGATACTTCCTCAATACATCCATTGTGATGTTATCCACAATAGAACTGTAAAGTGCAGTAAACATTAATTAGATCCCTAATGATTATTGAGGGGTAATAAGTTATAAAACAGCAGACCTAGAGCATATCATTGAATTTATTTAATAAAAATTTTGTATTCTGGAGAGCCTACATGATTCAGTTGGTTAAGCGACTGCCTTCGGCTCAGGTCATGATCCCAGCGTCCTGGGATTGAGCCCTGCATCAGGCTCCCTGCTCCGCGGGGAGCCTGCTTCTCCCTGTCCCACTGCCTGCCCCTTCCCCTGCTTCTGCTCTCTCTCTCTGTCAAATAAATAAATAAAAAAATTTCTTTTTATTCTGATTATAAAAGTAATATTCATTGGAGAAAATTTGAAATAGAGGAAAATATAAAGAAAAAAGTGACCTATAATTCCCATTGCACAGAGAAAACCAGTATTAACATTTTGACGTGTTTCTGTGTTGCCTTTCCTTCATATTCATAGTAAGTATTTATTTCTAAATTAGGATTATTCTGTATATGAACATTATATTTTATTTTTCACATGTTTTGTCATGTCTATTTTATCATTATATTAAATATTAAATAATGATTGCACAATATACCATAATATGGATATTCACACTTACCTAATCATACTGAGCAAATGTTTACCATTTAGGTGTTTTGAATTTTTCACTATTATAACTTTACAATGGACATCATTATATGTAAGTCTTTATCTGACGTTCTAATTTCTTTTTTTAATTTAATTTAATTTTATTATGTTATGTTAGGCACCATACAATACATCATTAGTTTTTGATGTAGTGATCCACGATAACTATTTCTTCCTGCGAGACTCATAGCTACTGGTCACAGGGCATGAACAGTTAAGAGTTTCGTTAACTTATTACCTAATTATTTTCCAATGATTGCACCAATTTATACTTCTACTAAGCATGCATTTGGGTTCCCATCTCACTGTATTTTAGATAACAATAAATTGTCATTTCTTTTTTAAAAAATTCTATTTTGATAACCAAAATTAATTTGCTTTCATAACTTAAAATGATTTTTTTGATTAATAATGAAATAAAACTTTTATTTTGTTAAAATTGTATTTCCTTTGAGATTTTTCTGTTCCTTTCCTTTTTCTTTTTTTTAGTGATTATTCCTGCTGATTTCTATAAGCTATTTCTAGAATAAAACTATAGAAACATTATCATATTTATTGCAATAATTTGCCAGTTTGCATTTGACATTTGATTTTATTCATGATGTTTTTGACATATAGTTATATAATTATCAATTTTTAACCCTTAATATTTCTCCAATTTCTTCTGATAGCATTTAAATTTCTTATGCATATATAAATAACTTTACATTGAATGCATAAATAGTATTATAAATAACCTGGAAGATTTCACATACAGCCTCATTTTTCCTTTTCCCTCTTCCTCTCTCTCCTGCCTGCTTCCAACCACATCACTTTCCCTTCCCAACCTCCAGGGTTTTAAAAACCTCATAAATAGCACTACTTTTTTCCAAAAAAGCATTTTATTTTTAAATATATATTCTACTATCATTGATGATAGTAAATTGCTAAGAATTTGCAAATGAAGGGACACCTGGGTGGCTCAGTCGGTTAAGCAGCTGCTTTTGGCTCAGGTCATGATCCCAAGGTCCTAGGATAGGGCCCCACATCGGGCTCCCTGCTCAGCAGGGAGCCTGCTTCTCCCCTATCCGCCACTCCTCATGCTTGTGATTGGTCTCTCCCTCTCTCTCTCTGTATCAAATAAATAAATAAAATCTTAAAAAAAAAGAATTTGCAAATGAAAATAATCTTTTAAAAAATTTTTTATGGTGATAAAATACACATAAGAAAATTTTAACCATATTTTAGTATATAGTTTAGTGACATTAAGTATATTTATATTGTTTTGTAACCACCATCACTATTTCCAGAATTTTTTTACCATGCCAAAATGAAACTCCATACATATTAAACAATAACCATCCATTTCCTCCCTCTTGCTGACAACTATCATTCTACTTTTTGTCTCTATGAATTTGATGACTTCAATTCATGTAGGTGGAATCATACAATATTTGTCCTTTTGTGTCTAGTTTATTTCACATAACATAACATCTTCAAGGTTCACCCATGTTTTAACATGTGTCAGAATTTCATTCCTTTTTAAGGTTGAATAATATTTCATTGTACATATATACCACATTTTGTTCATCCATTCATTCATCAATGGACATTTGGGTTGTTTCCAGCTTTCGCTATTGTGAATAATGCTGTTTTGAACATGAGTGTATGAAATAGTTTTCTCAACATCATTGTTTATCAGTACGTATACAATAACTGAAATTGTTTGGGAACACTGATGCTAATTGCTGACACTTGAATTATGAATCAGCTTTACCTAACCATATAGAGAAGTTTTTTGCACTGAATATTCCTCTTAAGACCTCAAAAGCCATCCCTGTGCATATAATCTGATATTTTTCTTGAAAATATGCTGGAAGAATGTTAAAAGAGTAGCTACACATGTAATAGCTTCAGGAGATTGATACTACCACAGAACTGGGCATGTGCCATGTCCCACACAACCTATGAAAAGCCTTATATAATATGCTTCTCGTCCTTCTGAATCAGTTAGCTTAGCAGTCAAATTGGGCATATTACAAATTAGTACCTTATTTCTCCATAATTTTTTTCTCAACAGAGAAGTCAGGAATGGCTGAAGAAAATCATACCATGAAAAGTGAGTTTTTCCTCACAGGATTTACAGATCACCCAGAGTTGAAGAGCCTTCTGTTGGTGGTGTTCTTTGCCATCTATCTATCTGATTACCATGGTGGGGAATCTTGGCCTGGTGATACTGATTTCAAAAGAGCATCATCTTCACACACCAATGTACATGTTTCTGGGCAACCTGGCTATTGTGGATTCTTGCTGTGCCTGTGCCATCACTCCTAAGATGTTAGGGAACTTCTTTTCTGAGAACAGAATGGTTTCCTTCTATGAATGTATGGCGCAATTTTATTTCCTTTGCACTGTTGAAACTACGAGCTGCTTTCTCCTGGCAGCAATGGCCTATGATCACTATGTGGCCATATGCAGCCCACTGCAGTACCACATCATGATGTCAAAGAAACTCTGCATTCAGATGACGACAGGAGCCTTCATAGCTGGAAATCTGCATTCCATGATTCACGTAGGGCTTCTATTTAGGTTAGCTTTCTGTGGATCTAATCACATTAACCACTTTTATTGTGATATTTTTCCTTTATACAGACTCTCCTGTGCTGACCCTTATGTCAATGAACTGGTACTATTTATCTTTTCAGGTTCAATTCAAGTTTTCACCATAGGCAGTGTCTTAATATCTTACTTCCACATTCTCTTTACTACTTTCAAAATGAAATCCAAAGAAGGAAGGGTCAAAGCCTTTTCTACCTGTGCATCCCACTTTTTATCTGTTTCATTATTCTATGGATCTCTTTTTTTCATGTACATTAGACCAAATTTGCTTGAAGAAGGCAATAGAGATATACCAGCTGCTATTTTGTTTACAATAGTAGTTACCTTACTAAATCCTTTTATTTATAGCTTGAGACATAAGGAAGTAATAACTGTCTTAAGAAAATTTCTGAAGAAAAAAAGATTTCATGAAAGTTGGAAACAAATGACATCTACTGTAACAGTGATTTAAAAGTGGAAAATACTTCCAAGTGAAATTACACAGAGAAAATACACCAATTACATGTAAAATATTGAAATATATCATAATGGAATCAATTTAGGAAGCGATATATATGGGAGAAAATATACAGGAAAGAGAAAACTGTGATGAATCTTAATTCAAAATAACAAAAATCAAAACCAAACTTGTAATTCATTCAAGAAACAGTTTAGCATGTTGTCATGCTCATGGACTATGTTTGCATCAGGGATTGGGATTATCAGCCCCCAAAAGGAAAACAACAAAACTATCAGTTGTACGTATAAAGGAGAATTCTTTTTTTTTATAAAAGATTTTATTTATTTATTTGACAGGGAGAGACACAGCAAGAGCAGGAACACAAGCAGGGGAGTGGGAGAGGGAGAAGCAGGCTCCCAGCTGAACAGGGAGCCCAATGTGGGACTCGATCCCAGGACCCTGGGATCATGACCTGAGCCGAAGGCAGACGCTTAACGACGGAGCCACCCAGGTGCCCTACAGGAGAATTCTATTTAACATCTACAGCCAGTCCATGTTAATAGCTTGGAGCATGAGTACTCCAGTTAGGCTAAAAGACTTTAAGGGCATGTGAACCTTCAACCAATGAAATCACTCACAACCATGAGAGACAAAGTTGAAGCAAGTAAATTTGAGGAAGCAGTTTTAATAGCATTGTGGGGGACACTATTGTTAGGATAGAGGTAGTAAGAAAATGAAGGTGTCAAATAAAAGTGAGTATTATATTTCCAAGTTAAAGTTCCAAGGGAGTTGCATAATTAGGCACAGAATGTCAACTTCAAGAGTAGTTATCTTCAGAAAGAGTTATTTACTCCCATATGTACACTCATAAAGATGCCATAACACAAAGTTCCAGGCAAGTAGTCAAACTTCATGTAAGATTTGAAGAGCCTCCATTGTCAGTGAGCTACATTCAACTTCTCTATTCTCCTTCTTGAAAGGTGAGGAAAGGGTTCAACAATGAGGACAATACTATATTATATATAGACATGAAGGTGTATGATTGTTGAGTTGTGGGTAGGGCTTATTTACAATAATTCCTTTTTTTTTTCTTTTCACCATTGCAAAACCTGAAGTTGTGGAATGTAAGTAGAATTAAAGATTTTATTTATTTTTTAGAATTAAATGATTTTAATGTAACAAAATGAAAGAATTACTTTTCATTTATTTATTCAACATAGATTTATTGAGACCTTGCTATGTGGAAGCACTACTCTAGGTTCTGGGATATATCAGTGACCAAAATACCAGCTTTTCCATCTTCTTAATTAATAGAACATTGTCATGATTTTAATGACTAACTTCTGGATCAAGGAGAACCCATATGAAAAAGAAAAATCCCCCCTTCTACGTCTTCTCTTAATGCTCTGAGGTCACATCTAAATTCCCAAAAGGCAATTGTTGGGTCTGGCCCCAGCTCTGGTCCAGGCTAGCCAGCCACTGAAGCGGACTTCACATGAAAAATCAACAGGTTGAGTCTATTTAGAAAAAGTTGTGGGAACATAAATGCAGTATTTCCAATCCCCTAAATCATGAATATAAACTTATAATCACTTTGTTTCCATTTGTAACCTACAAAAAATCTAATCTAGCTAATTCCATATAATTGACATTTCAAGATTTGAAATTGATACATTTCAAGATTTTCTTGGTTGTTTTTATTTTATTTTTTTAAGATTTTATTTATTTGTTTATTTTAGAGACAGAACACACAAGTGGGGGGAGAAGCAGAGGGGAAGGGGAGGAGAAAAGAATCTCAAGCAGACTCCACATTGAGTTTGGACCCCAATTCAGGGCTCCATCTCAGGACCCTGAGCTCACAACCTGAGCCCAAACCAAGAGTCAGAGGCTAAACCGACTGAGCCACCCAGGTGCCCCTTGTTGTTTCTAATTTAAACCTCATCAATTTAGTATTTGCCCAACCCTACCACCATCCTTCCTTGAGTGCATCTAAATGTATAGGTACTTGTCTGATATGGCATTAAAATGGTGTCATGTTGTGGTGCCTGGGTGGCTCAGTTAGTTAAGCATTTGCCTTCAGATCAGGTCAAGATCTCAGGGTCCTGGGATGAAGTGTTGGGGTCCCCGCTCAGTGGGGAGCCTGCTTCCCCCACTCCTTCTCCCCAGCTCATGCTCACTCTCACTCTCTGTCAAATAAATAAAATCTTTTTTAAAAATGGTGTCATGTTACAGATTGAGCTCTGTCCCTGTTATATCCCTTTGAGATGTTTGATCCTCTTTGACTTTCTGATTATCTCTTGGTGCCACCATCAGTTTTGATTTCTATGTTTATTTCCAGTCCCCAGGCTAGACGTGGAAGCATGATTTCACCTAAAACATTTTTTTTTTAATTTCACAAGGCTTCTGTCAAGTCTGCTGTCTTGATTTCTCTTGCTCTCTCCCTCCGCTAATTTCTGAGTAAATTCTCTTGACCTCTCCATCTAGGATATTTAAGAAGATGGAAAAACCGGTATTTGGGTAATTGATATACCTCAGCACCTAGCTGAAGGAAAGGTCTACAAAAAGGCTGAAGGGCATCTTTTTTAGACTTCTGATGACATGAAGTATGGGTTCAATGTGTGAAAGTTATCATGGGCCCCTCTGGAAGGTTCCTCTTGCCATATTTCTCTAAACTTCAATGGCCATTCAATTGTCTCCTCATCTCATTCCCAGAACACCTCCCTGGGAATGTAAGTCACAGAACACCATCTCAGCAAACACTAATTATTTTCCCTGACTTTCCTTTTATTCCTCAGCTCACTACATCTTTATTTCTAGGGTGATACCTAGCTCTTACCTTATCATACATGCTGCCCAAATCTAATTTTATGAAGTATATTCAGACTTTGGAACCGTCCTTAAAAGTGAGGCTTTCTCAATCTATTCTTCCTGTCTGGATTTTCAAGGTTATGCTTAGGGAAAAAAGCAAGTGAGATTGACATTGCTATGGTCTAACCTTTCTCAAAGTAATAAATCTGAGCTGTACAAGCTATTATCTGAAATGTCAGAAATGATCACTGGGCAGAATAGAATCACAGACTGTTTTCACCTAAGTACTGCTGGATATAGGAAGAAAAGTCTCATAAAATTAATCCTTTTAAAATCTTGGCCAATATTCCACAGTAAGCAGGGAAAAGATGTTTGTTTAGGACTCTACTTTAAAAAACAAAACAAAAACTTAGGGAAATAAATGTTATCTTACACTTAACCAAAATTTAGTTATAACCACAAATGTGTACTAATTTTACAAATAATGAATCAAGTGTCAAGTGTTTTTCTTGGCCTTATTTTCCAGAAGAATAAAGTATGATAACTAGATACAACCTTTACTTAACTTTTGAACTCAAGGAATAATGATAATGAATATTAATAATGGAGCAATTTTGTAAAATGTCAGTCTCCACCAATTTTCCCAAGGGTCCCTCCTAATTTTTATTGTACAAATTCTTATCCATTGAATTTGTTTTTATTTTTCTCTTTTATTATGACTTTTTAATTGTCCTAACTCTATCAGGTCCTATTTGTCAATGGGACTTTACATTTCCTACAAGTAGTTCTCCAAGAGCACATTCATCAACTATATGAAGTCTATTGCATCTTTCTCAAAAGTGTTTCACATTGAATTTGAATAATGTTTACATGGTTACATGAAGAATATTTATTCTATACATACACCTCTATGCAAGTCATTTACCTCCCCTTTATAGACCAAATGGTCTATAATTACGATTATATTAATCCTCACTTAATACCCATTCCCAGCCCAGAAAAATTACTCTGAAGTAGACAATGCTTCCTGGTGCAGGTCTGCTTTATCAATGAACCAATTTCACCACATGAATTTAAATATTGCTTCATAAGTGATGCTGATTAAGTATCAGAGAAGCAGAATGTAATATCTATAGCCCATTCAACTCTAGAAATCATACTTACTGTTAAAACTTTAATTCAGTTTAATATTATAACTCTCAGGTTATATTTATAATCTGTCAAGATGGGACTATATTTGGGCTGTGTGCAGGGGAGAAAAAAAAACCCTACGTTTTAGTGGATAATTCTTCCTACATCAGAGCAAATAAAATATCTCCTTGCATACTTGGATGTCCCTGCATCTTGTATGGCTTTCAGAAATTTAAAACTAATATAATGAATTGTATCCATTACTTTAACATTTTCTTTAATCTATTTATAAAACAAAATTTTAACTAAATAAAGACATAATTTTTCTGTTTATTTTTCAAAGAAGGTAAATTTGCTGGTGGATTGGGTTATTTCATTCCTTGAAAAAGTATTTGTTAAGATGTCTATAGCAGCAGGGGTACCTGGGTGGCTCAGTCGTTAAGCATCTGTCTGCCTTCAGCTCAGGTCATGATCCCAGGGTCCTGGGATTGAGCCCTGCATCAGGCTCCCTGCTCAGCAGGAAGGCTGCTTCTCCCTCTTCCATTCCCCCGCTTGTGTTCCCTCTCTTGCTGTCTCTCTCTCTGTCAAATAAATAAATAAAATCTTAAAAAAAAAAAAAAAAGATGTCTGTAGCACCAGACTGGGTACATGAGGTAGTAAAGGAAGTATGCTGTGATGCAAAACAATATAAACATACAATATACCACAGTAACTATATTTATTCAAAATATTTTAATGTGTGTACACTTAATAAAGTCCTAACTTAGTGCCATCTTCTATAGCTCATAAGACATAAGTAAAAGAACGTAGTAAAAGAAAAGGGAAAAGTAAAAGAACATGAGGGGAGGAGCAAGATGGCGGAGGAGGAGTACACCTAAATTTCGTCTGGTCCCAGGAATTCAGCTAGATAGTTATCAAACCATTCAGAACACCTACAAACTCAACAGGATATCAAAGAAAAGAATAGTAGCAATTCTACGAACAGAAAAGCGACCACTTTCTGGAAGGTAGGACATGCGGGGAAGTGAATCCGAGGCAATATTCAGGAAGATAGACCATGGGCGGGGAAGCCG